TGAATTTTTTCTTATGGAAAATAAAGTGTTCCTCATTCCTTAATCATTCTGTCACATGATTGAAAGTGTCAACATGGAATGAATTTGTGAAATGTAATAATTTTTCAAAAAATACTGGCCTTTACAAACTATGTTTTATAGATTTATCAGATTTCAGTGTTATAATCTGTATGACAAAACAAGTGGGTAATGTTGCAATGGCTACTGACGAATGGGCGTTTGTGGTAATTGATCACTTTGAAGATAAGTTATTCTATAACTGGATCCTGATTCAAATTCAAATATGTGTTTTTAGAACAGAAGAGTGAAGGTGTTTGTTAGTTGTGTTCTAGTATGCTTTTGCATTTGCCTAATGTTTTCTTGAACGAGTTAAGTGCTGAGATGGTGGAGAAGATTTGTAGGTCAGGTGGATGATAACTCGGTGGAGAAACCGATGTACCGTGAAAGCTCGTTTGTTTTGTCTTCGAAACTTATCTACTATGTACTCTAAGTTGTCTTGATCCAGTTGTTCGAGAAAGGGAGGATGTATTAGGTCGAAAATCATATTTTACTATCTCATACATCATAATTAAGTTACAACTTGGTCTATATTAATATAGTGTGAAAATATTTAGCTTCTTAAGTCAAACACTACCTGAAGTGTCGTTCCGTGTGAGTCAGATGAATACTTCATTGGTAAAGATAGTATTATTAGTCTGGATTCAGTGCCTACATTTGTTGTTACCATTGCCGTGTGAAAGTTCAAACTACTCCATTCGACATTCACAAACGATTTGTATTTACATCTGACCAACATCCTGGTTCATTGATTGGTTGATTGATTGATTGGTTATCCAGAGTTGTGTGATGCGTATTGTTTTGTCTTATTAATTGCTTCTAATTTGTCCAGTTGACCATTATTTTTCATAGATTATTGGCTTGACCATTAAGTGTTAGGAGTTCTACTGTGAATGCCATGGGAATTTTCCACAATTAACCATGTTCGTTCACCAATGTGATTTCAGTATAAATGTACCATGAGTTGTATCAGTTAAATATGCTTTTCCTTCCAATGATCGCCTTTGTCTGAGGTCATCAGCAATGTTGTGGTTTTCACCAAACATTTCCTTTCAACCCATCATTCTTACCACATTTGTGTTTATAATCCAGCATGTCGTGATGCGCTACACTGAACCCATGCATAACAGAAAGTTGACGACAACTGCAATCTCATCATTTCTCGACTTTGTGCAATATATCATTTATTCATTACACTTGTCTATTGATTAAAGTGAACACCAGATTGTGTTATGACTTTATAGAGACGGGTTACGGTATTGAGTTTTGCCGTTGGCCTACGGTGCGTGCGAATTGAACAACGATAGAGTAATTGCAATGTGAACAGTTCTATTGTGGATAGGTTAACGGCAGTTGAGACAAAACCGTTCAATAGTTAGCCACTAGCATAGAGAGGAAACGAAGTATGGAACAAACCTGCAATTCGAACAGGATAACTTGAAAACGTACAACTCAGTATATACTGTAACGAAATCACAACTTTGAATTGCACGGAAAATGAGCGAATAATAAGAGGCAACCAATCAGAAAATAGCAAATGTCATGAGAAAATTTGAATTAGAAAAGGTGTACTCGTGTTCACTGTTACTAGTAAGACTTGAATATTACCAACAGAGAGAGATCAAATAATCCTGTGAATACGTTAGCAGATTGCTGAATCAATTAATTAATTAATTAATTAATTAATTAATTATTTATTTATTAAAAATCATTTCAAACAGTTTGTTGTCTTCCAACTTGTTCTACATAAATGTAAGCAAAGATCGCTTTAATACATGCACCAGCAATGAAAACGAATAACTGAGCGAGAAAATTTGTCGTGAATTACGATATATTTATGTAGTGAAATGATGTTTGTTTAGATCTGCGAATAGATTTGCGCATTTCCGAATTATATAGAATTTTTCTAGTCAAAATTAATTGATTTTTATCAGTAGTTGTTAGACACTTCAATATTTCTTCACTATTCTTGATTTGTGATATATTTTGTACTTGAACTCTTCTACACAGATTTAATAATTGCTTACTAGCCACTCGAAATCTCCTGCTTATGATCTGTGATCATAAAGTTGAAGACATTGAGTACGCAATATGTTTTTATGATAGAACGTATGACTTATTACTGATATTACTACTCTACATTGAGTTTGTTTCCTCCATAGTTATTCTTCCTATCGAAGTGATCAATGTTTGGTATTTGTTAAGGTGATCTTGTATTTATCTATTTGTCATTGGATTCAACCACTACAAAGAAGAGAGAGACTGTTCCATATTATGCAAATTAATGAAATGAATGTTCGGAGTGCAAGTTGTCATGTTCACATGAATGAGTATGATGATTCAATGATAAGTTTGTGAACAAGTAATTATGAACATAAATATCGGCATTTCAATTCACTCATTAATGCAGTCGAAAATTATTGATCAGTTCATACTGCTGTGTATGTTTCGAAATCTGATCTTGAACCAATTATTTGAATATTGTTTTTGCCATGATATCGAATTAAACTGACTCTTTCAGAAAACTATTAAATGAAAGTAATTGGTTAATCTGTTCGGCACAAAATATGCACAAGAGTTTATTATTGAGTGCATAATGTTAATGACAAAGCTCATTAACCATCAATTGGTCAATACTCACTCATTTAAGAAATTCTACCAATCACCAATGTACACAATGCTCTAAGAAAGAAATCTTCATGAAATTGTTTATTTTTATCATTTGAATCACTTCATTTTCGACCAGTTCACAACATTCGATCTACTGTGTCTGTGATTCATTAATGCTATTCAAACTTCAGTCAGTCAGCTACAACGTAACACCTGGCACACATGTGCATCGGTCAAGTTGCCATAGCTCATTAGCACAACAAGATGAACACCGAATTCATATAGTTAACATAATATTGGTTATTTATTTACTCTGAGGAAGTGATTTACAATATGTCAAGAAACGTCAAAAATACAATAATCGAATTTATTGGGATACAACAAAAGTACATTTATTCTTAATGATCATCAACATTATTATTATTATCATTCACATCATCATTCAAATGAGACCATTTATTCTCTCCTATCTCCGTCACATGTGGTCATCAAGAATTTCAAGTTGACATCAACTCTACACATATATCGAATATGTATCATAAATGAAATATCAATGAAGCAGTTAATTACACAGAAATCACTAGAATAAATACAAATCAAACCAATTGATCATCATGATAAGAAATAAAATTGATAAAGTTCTAACATATTTGTGTTCAAAGTCAAGTATCATCCGTCATCCACACAACCAATTGTCGATCACGTTCATAAATTAATTCAAACACAAAATAAGATTTTTACAAAACCAACATTTAAATTTAATTATGTACAGTATGCAACAGAGTAGTCAATAGAGTAGTGAACATTTGAAACAGAGCAGTATTGAACAACAGTCCACTTCAAATGGATTCGAAACAAAAGGACTAACTGACAGAAAAATTCACACACACACACGCACACACACACACACACACCACGAATAGACAATAATGATGAAAAGGGAGAACAATCTTCGTCAGTCACAATAGCTATACATACATATGTATACATTGAATTTACAATTGAGTTTACTATCCATATGTGGATAGAATTGATGACAATCACAATGGTAGTTCATGTGAAGATTGGCTTTCACCCAACATTCAGCTTTTCGATGATGATTTCAGTTTCTCGGACCAATATTGCTTCTTCATCTGGAGAATTTCAATCTTCAGATCTAGGCACTTCATTTGCTTGTGAATCAACATCTCTGACAATGGAAATCTCTCACATTCGGATCTACAAAAACAAGTCACAGTTTGAACATCTGTTTATAATCACCAGGGCGATGTAGGAGACATGATATACATATGCTTATATATACATAAAATTCGTCGCATATATCCTAATCATCAAATCTACTACACCATATACACAACTGACAAACACAACTAAATAGGAATTTTCACTCGATACCCTCATATTCAGTAGGCATACACACACACACACACGCAAACAAAATTAACGACAATAATCAAGATATTGAGTGATGCACAACGTGCGACGAAGACACTTCTGTGAGATGGAACACCATTGAACGTAAGTGAACAGAGTACTGCTTATTTGTCCGTCAGTCTGTCTATCTATTTGTCTATCTATCCATCTACCTCGTAGTGTGGTTCACTCACTGCCTGTGTGAATCAAATCCTACTGATTAGTCTAGTTTTCACAGAGAGTATAACAACAACAACAACAACAACAACAACAGGAATAACATAAGGTGAAACGTGTCAGTTGAAAAGAGGTGTCCTACTTACGTGATACAATCCTTGGCATTTTGACCAAAATCATTCACCTGATTCGTGTTCGCCTGATTTCGCGTTCCACTCAACTCTGGATAGCTCTCCTCGTCCTCACTACACGTTGATAAATCAATTGTTGCAGTCAGAGGAATGCGACTCGTTTGGTTGGATGGTGAGTTCGAGATATTCACTTCTTGAATAGGAGATACGTCTGCAGTATGGGTTTTCGCGGCTCCGAACGAGACACAATGGAGAGGAGTCAGTAACGCGACTCGGTTAGGGTTAATCGCCACCTCACCAACCGTGTTGTTGTTGTTGTTGTTGGTGGTGGTGGTTGGTTGCAGCACTAGAGCATCATGTGGAATCACCAGTTGTTGAGACATGTGAGCTGTTGAGAATGCGTTCAAAATTTTTGGACCAGTTGTGTGTGGGGGATTCGGTTGCACATGGTTTGTAGGAGGACTGAGTGTTGATGTGGGATATTTGGAGGTGATGGTTATCACTGGTGAAGGGGTGAGTGTAGGCAAGTTGATTTGATGCACACTCGACTGGTTCTCGGTCACCTGAATTCGATGAAAACAATTAACACGTGATTGGGAAAGGCGAACTTACCGAATCACTTTGTCCGTTCACGTTCACGTGTCGATTTTCATTGGAACTGGAGAGTGACGTGTGGTTGGAGTGATTTTCAGGTGAATTGGGATTGCATTTCGACACCTCCCACTGATTGATTGTCGTGTTATTGAGTTTCTTCAGCACGTGCAGACCCTTTCGACGCAGATGAGTCCAGTTTCTTCTCGGCCATCCCTTCGAGTGTAGGTAACGTGCGAATTGCATCCACAATTGTTTCTGAAGAACAGCAGATGGACGACTCTTGTCTTTCCAAACATCCCGATATCTCAATACCAATTCGGTTAATTCACTCGACTCCTCAGTTGTGTATCGTGTGACTGTGGTCTGTTTCGACCGTGTTGATGGTGGTGGTGGTGGTGGTGGTGGTGGTCTTGATGCACAAGCTGACTTCCGAGCTGTATTGATCATAATCAAGCAACCTGTTTTGTGGTTGTGAAATGAAGAGAAATAATATTTTGAATGAGGGTGTGAGACAGACAGGTGACACGTTGAGAATTTTCTACCACCAATCGTATATCCTATACACTGAATTATTATTGGTTGACTGTTTTCAGCTTGTTGGTGTGTGGTGTGTGGTGTGTAGTGTGGAATGTCAGTTGTGTTTGCTTAGTTGTGTCTGCTTGCTTGTGTCTGCTTGCTTGTGTCTGCTTGCTTGTGTCTGCTTGCTTTTGTCTGGTATCTGCATTGTATCTGGTCACTGGTCTGCATGCTTGATTTAATGTGTCACGTGTGTGATTGGTTAGTCAAACATTCGTGATTTTGATCTCGTCAAAATACTCACACACACCGATGCGCTTATTCCCCGAACAACATTTCGATGATGAAAGATTAGATTTGAAGACAGATTCAATTTACACCTTAGTTTTCTGTCAACTACTAATCATTTGCCCGTTTCAATTCGATAGTTATTGGGAAATCTTACCAGCGATTTATCTGTATGTTGATTCCACTAATTATTATAATGTAGCAGAAACTTCAAGCTCAATTGTCTATATAAACTACTGATGAGAAGACTTTGCATTGTCGCAAAAGTGTAGCCACTCAGATGAACAGTATGTCAATCTGAAGTGGTGATGATGTTGGTGGTGGTGGTGTTGGTTGTGGTGTTCTTGCGCATGTTGTGCGCTTAACCTCCTAACCACTATATTGACACGAGATGAAATTTGTTATTTGAAATGTTTGAAATACATGAACAAACAAGTTCCATTTGTGTGCAGCACATGTAATGAAAGTGCAACCAGAAATATGACAAACTGCATACAGAAATACATATAAATTCGAAACGATCAATCAATATATTAGAAAGATCGATTTAACAATCTCGTCTATCTATCTAATGATGATTTGTGGGACAAGGTTAAATTCACGTGTGTTTGTCACACACTCTACTGGCATGATTGGTATGAATAAAAGATTTGGAGGATGATGGACACATGCGAATCACATTATTTTGTCTATGCAGTAATTCACATTGAACATAATGTTGTTGATGTTGTAGTAGCCTAAAATAATCAATACATGAATTCCGAGTAAACAACATATCATGCAATTTAATGTTTAGCTGAATAATGAATATGATGTATGGACGAGATGTTGTACGAAGAATAGAAGCATCACATATTTTGATAATATTAATACTGTGAATGTTTGATTGAACAGTCAAACATGAGACACATGGAGAGGAGAGTTGAAGCGTATGACTAAGATGAGATTAGTGAACATGATAGTGAGACTTCGACTGTGTTGTTTCCAGGTCGGATGTGTGCAAATTCTCAACTGAAATCAAGTGAGCTCTGTTTGTAGGATTGAATTTGTCCTACAGATATACTACTAGAACTGTAAACGCGATACTGGCGAGCACAGAGTCTATGTGAGAGCTATGGTCAGAACAAGGACAACTTTGATTTAAACTTTATCCCTTTCTGAACGTAAAAATAATTCAATTAGTACAATAATTGAGGAAATTACAGACATTAGGCGAAACGCACAAACATACCGACCAGTAATGCATGTCTCATCGAAATGAATAGAAATTATGAGTCACACTAACACTATAGGATAATAATGGTGTTCAATTGGTAGGTCACATGCAACAGGGATAGTTGACAGACACATCAGATCAGATTAACGTAGTAGGAGTTTAAACAACCATTGGATTAGTTCGTTATGAACATAATGAACAGTTTCCACACCTAGCAATTGTTTGTATGACTTCTCTCTTCTCTCTGGTCATCATCAAATTACTTTCAATTTTATTCTTCCATTTTCAAGTCTATTTCAACTAAAACTGTTCAGGTCAAATATCAATGATTAATTCTTATTTTACTGCTGTTGTTACGAAGTCACTAGTTGTAACTGATGATTATTCATTCGTTCACTGCGTTTCAATTGGAAATTGTCTTCGTTGTTTTTGGATAAGTATTTCAACCTCATGTAGTTGATGTGTAGATGTGAATTTCTTGAACACACTGTCATTACATGTTTGTCCCTGTTCAAAGAAATAACTTAGCTGTATTTTTTTAATCTGACAGCCTACATTACGGTATTATTGAGGAACCGACAAAGTAAATCCAGTGTTACGTGTACAACCATTACAATTTGTTACATATTACTTTATTCATGTTCAAATGTAATGAGTTGATTTTCCTATAAATTTTCTCAGATTGTTCAATTTCTTTTCCTGATAAAAACCTCAACAACAACAACAACAAGAAAAACAGACTAGTTTTCCATTAATTTTTTCGAAAATTTCTATTTAACACAGTTTCGTGATGAGTAGATTTCTAAAATGTTCATTTGACATTAACGATATAATTCCAGTTGTGCTAAGCTAAGATTAAACATATGTAGTGACTTACTTTTATTACGAGAACATGATTGGTTTAATGAAAACAATTATTAATATAACCAATGCGCTTTCGTTTAACTGTGCTAATTACAGCCATTTTGTGCTTCCACACCTTCAATCATTGTTTCGCGGTTTTTGGCTTTGTTCGTACATACTCCGTTCCCTTGCTTCCGCTTGTACCATTTCTTGGCACGATCTTGATATTCATTCGATACCTCGGAATCGCCAATTAAATAAATTAGGTTCTAATCCGCCTTCTGATTTGTTTGACACGTGTTTTCTTGGTAGCGGTTTTAATAGTCAACAGGGACTCGAAGCCACGCTACACATTGTTCAATAACATGAAATATGTTTCACATTATCTTGTCTTTTTATTCAGTAATTCAATGAATAATGAAAAATCAATTTTAAAGAGAGCAAGAACAAAGATTTGTGCAGACTAACATGAATTCATTTTATTTCGTTGGGTTCTCATCAGTTGCTTACAACCTAAATTATTTGAAATTCAACATTATTACAGATATTGACATATTTATACATAAGAGTGTGATTAAGGATCAATACATGTGTATCATGATGTAGCAGCTGATCAGAACCTAACGGAATAAAATGAATTCATATTATTCTTCACCAATCTTTGTTCTTGCTCTCTTTAAGATAATAAAGGGAACTATGTGTATTAAAAAATCAATTTCTTATAAACAAATAAACAACAAATTATCGATCGATAATACATAAATCACATAGAAGATGAATGGTGATGAGCGAATAGGACTGACAAGTTTTGATTATTTTATTCTTCTAGTTACCAATATACAATTTGATGTGATCTGCTACAACGAGAATATCGTGTGATCATTTCTATATGTTCACCCTCCCAATCAATGCTACAAAACACTCATACCAATTGAGTGTGTGACAAACACATGTGATGAATTAAACCTTGTTCTCCAATCCATCATTAGATATATGGAAGTATTAAATGGATCAAATTGATAGCAGATTAAATTGAAAAGCTCTCTGCTTTCGAAAATGACACTGAGCAGATATGTGGTTAACAAGTAGTGAACAAGTAGTGAAAAATAATTGGTATTATAACTGGCAGAGTACAGTAAGTACATCAGCAGTAATGCAAAAATGATTTGTAACTGAATGGATGAATAAATTTAGCACAAAAGTCATGATGCACTACCTGATTAGTTGGTCTACAAAATAAGTGTTTACAGTGAGGATATACGGATAATGTCGATTCACCTGTTACATGGAATTTACAAAGACAGAATTGAGCACTCGATTTGTCCTAAACTATCATTTATATGATAGTGACAAAAAGTAGTTCTTCACAAATATTTTAAATGTATTGGGCAGTGCACAAATGCATTTTTATTGCTCGCTCTTCGTGAAATTTCAATTTGGAACAAAATCTGACAAAACCACATTCTCGATTCTAATTGACTCGTCTCTATACTATACTTTTACCGCTCTAGTTCTTCTTCAATCACATTCCACAATCTAACCACTGTGATTATACTGACCTTGGATGAATCATATCCTTGATTAATATGTCAACAAACTAATCGATAGTGATACAGCTACAGCTATTTCTCACCTCCTATTTATTTGATGTGTCTGTTGTATGAGTCCACTGTGTGTTTGTTTCCTCAGACTGGCTGAGGTTATTTACAATCGGTGTTGACCTTGTGGTGAATCTCCGACAATACACAAACTTGTGGAAACTTCGAACAGCAAACACAAGTGCAAGAGCCTCCTTTTCTATCTGACTGTATTTTTTTTCTTCTGGGGTTAGTGTGAGGGCTGAATACATAAGGGCTTTTTCCGACGCATGCGGAAACTGATGGGAGATAACAGCGCCTAGGCCATACGCTGATGCGTTTGCAGCTACGATGATCGGCATGGCTGGACTGTAGTGTGTCAACAGTGATTCCGAACTAATAATGGTCTTTAGTTTACAAAATGCAGCGTCACGCTGTTTAGTCCAGTTTCAAGAGCTGTTCTTCTGCAGTAAGCTATTGAGTGGAGCGCGAATTTCATGCATCGAAGGAACGAACGCTGCATGACAGGTGACAAGTCCCATGAAGGAACGTAGTGCCGACACATTAGTGGGGGTAGGCATTAATTTAATAGCTCGAATGTTCTCAGGATCCGGTCTGCGGTCGTCAGCGTCAAAATTAAACCCCAGACACTTTACTGGCTGCAATGAAAACTGGCATTTCTTTGGGTGTACCCGGAACCCGTTGTCACTGATGCGTTGCAGTACCAATGTCGTGCGTTCCTCTAGCTGTTCTAATGTCGTCGCAACAGTTAAGATGTCATAGAGATAAACCGCGACCCCGAGATACCTGATAGAATGGTATCCATCAGTTTCTGGAAGATAGATGGGGCAGTCTTGACTCCGAAAGGCAGACGGTTATACTGAAACAACCCACGATGAGTAATGATAGTAAGCAGCTCCCTTGATGCTTCATTTACTTCCACTTGCAAGTAAGCATCAGCTAGACCCAGGTTCTCGAAAACCTTTCCCTCATTCAGCATAGCAAACAGATCTGCTGGAACTGGTAGAGGATAACGATGCTGTTCCAGAGCTGCATCGAGACCCCTAGAAAAGCCAGCACATACACGTATCGTGCCGTTGACCTTCTTGATAACGACTATAGGTGCTGCCCAAGCAGAGTAAGAAACAGGTAAGATAACTCCTTGTTGTTGAAGACGATTCAATTCTCCATCTACTGTTGGTAATGTTGCATAAGGCACGGGTCTTTTGGGCGGAAAACAGGCTTAGCCCCAGTTTT